CTACTAGGCTGCAGGATCCCAACCCTAGTCAGTTGACTAATTTTATAATTAGTCGACTAGTTGTATATTATATAAAGTAAATACTATAAATTACAATTTATTAATCAACCAATCAAAAATGTTGTTTAACTATCAGTCTATATTAGTGTTGAGTTTTTTCAAATTTCATACAAATGGTATTTTGGCCCGCATTATAAAATTTTGGCCAGTATTATAGCAGCTTACTGCTAATGCGGCCAGAATTATCTTCTGAAATATTTTAAAAACTCCAAAATATTCCAAGTACATGCACAACACTACATAGTCTATATATTTATTATTTTTATTTTTAGTTAATTTTTAGTCGACTAATAAAATTTAGTCAAATAGTTGATTTTAGTTGACTTAGTTGACTAAAAATTAGTTGTTTTCTATCACTACCGTGGACCTTTTTGGCAAAGGTTGTGATAGTTGAATTCTGTAGGAGAACAATGACCTGAAGCACCATTTGAAAATCATGAAGGCATAGAAGGAGGAGAATGATGTCACAGTTCTCTCCTGGCCATCGATGTTACCTGACCAAAACCCAATTAAGAATATCTGGGAACTTATAAAAATGAACTTGGCAAAAAAAAAAAATTAGAAAGCTTAGTACTCTGAAGGCGCAGATAACCAAAGAATAGAATCGATTTCCTAAAGAGTACATGGCTAATTTAGTAAAGAGCATGAGGCATTGTGTAGAGGCCCTAATTGAATCTGAGGGTGATTATACTATACATTAATTTTCATGTAATTTAATGTTCTTTTAATTGGTGATCTACTAGTCAACCAGAGAATGATTATAGTAAAAAGTGACTCAAATTACTTATAAAAATTAGGAGTCTCCAAATGTGGCATGCACATATCTAAAACTTTTTTATACTAAGTTTATCACTTTTCTAACTTAAGAAACTTTTGTAGAGCTTGTCAAAACGCATCTAATAGTGGTTAGAGCATTAAAATCAGCTTGGTGAGTGCTGAGATAACCTTTCTTTTACTATATAAACTTCTTTGCAAACAATACTATTGTTTGCAAAGAAGTTTACATAGTAAAAGAAAGGTTTTTTAAAGATATCTCGGCACTCACCAAGCCGATTTTGACACTTTAACCACCATTAGATGCGTTTTGACATGCACGCCACATTTGGAGACTCCTAATTTTTATAAGTAATTTGAGTTACTTTTTACTATGATCATTTTCTGGTTGACTAGTGGATCACCAATTAAATAAAAAAAAATTTTTTCCCTACCATATCTCTGTGCTGAGTTATGGGAGCAGGGTTTCTTTTGTCGGGCACTGTATATTAATACTTTCTAAAATTATTATTATTGTTGTAAGTTCTAAACTTATTAAACAAATATAAAATTAAAAACCTAGATATTAAGGTTTTAATCTCAATATCAATAGTTTTCGTTTTCTAGTATGATTAAAATTCTATATAAGTTAAATTAAATATGGTTAACTAATCAGATTAATCCAATGCTTAATATTAGATTTTGATAGTTTTTTATATATTATAACCTGCTATTTATGTGAGTTCAATTCTTAAAACATTAAATATATAAAGCATGATGAGTGCAGGTTTTGAATAACTATTAATTCTGATATATAAGTATGAAGTTATAATTTAATAGCCTTATAATTTTGTGACTCAAGTTAAGTACTTCTAATTGAATAAAGGGATCAGCTTTTTTGATTAGTTTATTAATCTTTGTTTGTTAAGCAATATGTAATTTTTGAATGGATAAATTAAAAAAAACTAAATGATTAATTATTTTTTACTTCATTATAATAATTTGTAGCTATATTTTTTTAGAAGTATCAATAAATTTTTCAAATATATTGGGCTTAACAAACCACTTATTTATTTTAAATCCAATAATTGCTATTGATTATTTGCAAATTCATAGAATCTTGATCTAACTCGAATTGTTTATTATTATTACAAACAGTAGTATATAAGATTCTTATTTAAAGTCAAATCTATTGCTATAAGTAACATTCTAATTATTAAAATAAAATTAGAGTTGAAAGGGTTGTGACAAAAAATTTTTGGGATCTCTTGCAGTATAGGTTATACCTTTGGTAGATATTCTGAAGCATCTAAAAAATACAAAATTTATCTGCAACTTATTCGAAATTATGTAAGTTATACAAAATCTGAGTTTGGATTAAATTCAGCGCTTAGGACATACTAGTTCTAAGACAATCCGAATAGTGATGCCACCGAAATTGATTTTCAAAAAAGGCCTATTTCGTCTTCAATAAAGCAAATTAAAATTTTTTATAAGAAAGAGCAAATAAAATTTATATATTTATACTCTTTATAATTTCGTTTATTCAAAAAAAGTACCAAAAAATTTCGTCTTTTAAGTAAAATAGATTAAAAACAATTTCAGCTTCAAATTTTAATTTCGGGTTTTTGAGCCTGAAATAATTTTGTCAGCATGTATATTCTGCAGTATTATTTTTTGTGACTTATATTATACACAGTATTTGTTTTCTCCATGACTTGAGACTCTTTTTAAGAATTCTTTATTGGCCAAATATGTATATTACATAGTCTTACCTTCATATTTGAAAGCTTCTGAAGGTTATAAAAATAATTAATTAAATTAATTACCCTAGCTATAATCAAACTGTTAATTTCATTTGTAGAGAGTTAGGTACCCAGACTACTAGGCTATGGATTCTTAACCCAAAATCTTTAATTATTTGTATAAAAAAAGTTATCTAGTATTATATTAGTATTGTAATTAGCTTTGGCCTATTTTGAGTTTAAATTTTTGTATAACTAATCTATTCTAAAATAATTGGGTTAGGTCAGGTTTTGAATTAATCTAATCTAATCTAAACCTAACTCATTATAAAATTTTTATCAAGTTTGGGTTTAAACAGACCCAGGTTGGGCTTAAATAAACCTGACCTAATCTAGTCTATTATATATCTTAGTTAATAGATAGTTTTGTATTGTAGATATAAAATTATAACTTTTTTTTGCTCTCAATAGAAAAAGAAGAATTAAAAAAATTAGCTTTTAATGAGCTAACAAAGTTTATTTAACTTGTATACAGATTAGTGTGGCAGCTAGACATGTTTATTACAGCCAAGTAATATTAAACTTATAATTGACAAAGAACAATTGTTTAGTTTTATATAGTGTTTGTACTATTATTAACTAAATAAATAAAGATTTCTAATTATTTAAACACTGGCAAGACTATCAAAGCTCTAAAAAAAAATATTATAATAATATTTAGCAGTTTGGTTAATATATTAATTTTTTGCTACTTTTAGATTTAGTTTATTAATTTTATAAATTTATTTAGTTTTTATAGTAAATTTGTTAAAAATTTGTTATTTTTTTATTTAAAACTTCAAATAAGTTTTAATTTTTTTAGTTTTCTAAATTTATATATTTAATACAGTAATTTTATTTTGGATTTGTATTAACTAATATTAGCTTGTATTTTTTAATATTTTATATAATATTATATAAATATTTTAAATCTTTAGTTTTGTTAATATAATTAAAATTACAAATATTCTAATCTAACTAATTAATAAAAAGTTATAATTAGCTAGTAATTATAATAATTGTCCAGAGTGAAGCAATGGACTTAATTTTTATGCTTGGTGATTGTCCAGAGCAAAGTTGTCCAGAGTGAAGCAATGGACTCTTAGTTTCTATACTTAGTAATACAAATATTATGTTTTTGATATTTAAAAAAATCAAGAAAATGACTTTGAATTTTCCATCTATCTACTTACGTAATGTTAATAAATTATATGCTTTGGACTTATATCAAATTTCGATTTCTAGTATTTAGTTATATTTTTTTTATAATTCTATACTTGGTTTTAAAAATTTATATTTATAAAAATGTACTTATATATATAATTATTGGCTGCTTCGCATCCAATAACTATATATTATAAAAAGTGTGACTATAAAGTAAAGATTGTATCTATCAATCTCTACTCAGGTATTATTAAATTATCCGGCTATCTGGATAATTTATTATAGCCAAATTATAAAAATATTTACCCGGGTACAATTTCTACTATAGAGAAATTTAACTATATGCAAATAATAATATAATTGAAGGTTTTTTAAATATTATCTTTAATATAATTAACCAGTAATCATAACAATACATATTTAATATATATAATTAATCAAAATACAAATTATAATTAATACTTAATTTCTTTTATTTATTTATTTAATTTTTTATCAAGAATTAATAAAATAAAAAAAGCAAAAAAAATTTAGAAAAATTAATTAAAATAAATAAATAAATTCAATTATTATAAAAACACACCTATGGTGTTTTAGCACCATAAATAATTGTTTTTAATAAAATTTAGGGTTAGGGTTCGGTATTAAGAATTATTTTTTTTATATAATATAATATAGAGCTAATATAAGGTTCCGATTTCAGTTTTTGTAAGGTTTTTGGGGTCCTGACTATTTTTACTTAGAGTACCCGATCCCGTTTACTTAATATGTTTTAGAGAAATAGGGACCTATACCATAGGTGCGTTTTAGTAAAATTCAATAAATTAACTAAATATGTTTCATATATAAATCCAAACCATTATAGTTTGGGTTTATTTATGTCAAAAACAATTTTTATTTAAACAAATAATATATATTTTTTATAATATTACTCTCTTGATTTAATTTTTTATAAATGAAGTTTGTTTTTTGGAGTTTTGCCAACAAGTGTAGTTTCATATGAGTATATTATATACTATATACTGTATGTTACATAATACATAATACGTAATACGTATTTTAATTTATATGTAGCAAATTTTTTAATCAGCTTATATGCCAGTGCATTACATCTTTCCGGTTTTAGCATAATTATGTCGATCGTTAGTGCTTCAGCATTAATAAGATGTATAATTTATATATATATATATATATATACTTACATTTAAGCGTTCACCGCAATATTGCAGAACTATCAGGATGGTTTCTTCAAACATAAAACTTCTTTATCATCCAGAATACTATCATGGTAATGGTATTGAAGAAAAATTTTTCGAGGGTTGGTATTTTAAAACAGTATCAAAAGACAATAATGAAGCATTTATCGTAATACCGGGAATTTATCGTGCACCTTCGATCACAAACGACAATGAATCCCACGCTTTTGTAATGGTTCTTCTTTCTGGATTTGATTGTCTATATTATCGATATGAAGTTAACGAATTTGAAGCGAGTTCTAGTTCTGATATGGAATTTTATGTAAAGATCGGTGATAATAAATTTCAAAAAAGTGGCATAACACTTAATCTCCCTTCTTCACGACTAATAAAGCCTACTGATAAGGAATATGAAGAATATTCAGATTTATTAGTTAACGATTGGGCTAATATAATCAATTTTAAGTCATCAGATCAATCAAATGCCGAATCGCAACTATTCACTTCTCCTACATTGAAACAAGATCTTTTGAAAAACGTCGTTCGTCATAAATTTATTTCATATTCTGTACAAGGACAAGTTTCTTTCGATAAAATGGTATTATTTCCCGCCACATATACATATCCAAGTGTTATGGGACCCTTTGCCTTCATTCCTTCTTTAGAATGTAATCATGGAATTTTAAGTATGAATCATAGATCTCAAGGTAATATAGAGTTTACGAATGAAGAGAATAAAGATGATTTCAAAAAAATTATTTTTGAGAATGGGTGCGGATATATAGAGAAAGATTGGGGTACTGATTTTCCTCAGTCTTATATTTGGGGACAGACTAATAATTTCATGAATGAGGATGGGTCTTCAATATTTGTAAGTATGGGCAATTTTATTTATTTATCTATTTATTTATTTATTATTCATTAATTTATAATAAATTTGTTTTCTTAAAAAAAAAAAATTAAATCATCATATATTTTAAAAGTTTTCTGTAGCAGATATACCACTTATATCATCAGATAGTCTATTTAGCAAGATTCCTTTTCTTAAAAATTCATTACCACTACGTTTTCCTGGACGACTAATCATCTTTTACCATGGGAGTACGAATACTACATATAATTTCAGTACTTATACATTATCTTTTGTTCGTGAATTGAATGTAGAAATGGATAATTCTGCCACGCAACATATAAATATATACATTTCAAATATACAAGGATATCATCTTAAAATCAGTATAAAACGTAGAGCTGGTAGAGGAATTCCCTTACGTGCACCCGTAAAACAATTCGAAAAGATGCTTTTAAGAGTTGAGGAAAGTTTGGACGCTGAAATGTCTGTAAAATTATGGCATACGCAACGAAATCATGAAATTGAAAATGTTATTTTTCATGATAGATCTGTAAATGTGGGACTGGAGGTCGTTGGTGATGTCATGTGGATTGCTGAAAAATATCAAAAAGTGATCCAATCAAATTAGAGCTGTCAAGAATCTGAGTTTGGAAGTTTGGAAACTCAGTTTCAAAATTTTGAATAAGTTTATGAATAAAATAAGTGTAACTTCAATTATTTATTATTTGTTGTACTGATCAAAAATTTAGATCTAAATAAAGACTTCTAAATTAGATTCTTTTTGGGCAAGGATATCATAAACATGGTCAGTTTTGATATTTAATAAAATTTGCAAATACCGAAATTTACCATGTTTTATCGAGATGTTTATTAAAAAAATTGGTAGAATAACAATATAATATACAAATAAACTAACCAATAAATTTTTTTTTTATTATACAGTAGTCTGATATGAATTTCAAGATTAGACGAAATAAAAGTTTTTTTTTACAATTATAGCCTTAGAAAAATAAACACATTCGAATATTTTGCCTCGTACAAATGAATAGTAAACTATATTTAAAAATTGTACGGCTATAAGGTTTAAATTTAGGATGTCTCCGTAATAGTTTCGAACATACTGTACTAAGTGATACAGGTGATACGATATTCATCAAAAATTTTAGGAGTCAATTTATTTTGTAAAACACATATGGGGTTTTATTATTAAAGCGTTATTTAGCGCAACAACTGTTAACATAAACGAATTTATTGTAGTTTCATTTTTCATAATATAAATAATAAAGATCAGGTTTTAGCGGCGAAATTTAAAAGCTCTTGCCAAAGCAATAATTTGTACAAGATAATTTTATTAATTATATATCGCATATAGGCATCAAGCCCTTACACGCGTATATAAATGAGAATGTTTCTTATAGATGGTTTATAATTACAGTTTGTAAGCTAGCATATAGTTATAAGGGGGAAAAATTTACAAGATGAAATTAAGGGAATAAGATATTTCAGGTCATATAAATCATATTGTAAAAAGAAAAAAAAAAGATATGTGCAGAGGGAGGAGGATAAAGGAGGATAAAATCTCAGTAAAATCTCAGTCTATAATTTAATATGTGCAAATTTACTCCTGATCAGATAAGACTTCGTTTTGATAATAAGCGAGACAAACAGCTCTAGCTTCAGCACCCATTCCAAGATATTCAACATTTTCCCAAATGTTTTTAAAATTGTCCAATGTCAAACTATCATAAAATTTATCAGCATCTCCATCGTAAAAATATTCGAGGATCGGATCGAATGCCTCGGGAGATGGGAGCGTGATTGTGATGACGTCACCATTCGAAACGTTATCATTATCAAATATTTGATTAAATAAATTTGATTGAAGAACCAGATACTCTTTATGTACCCAATAAAATTTACTGTTTCCTTCAATATGAAGTTCAGCATATGCTGTTGATTTGTCATTAAAATAATTTGGTCCGAGTTGATGTAATTTCTCGAGAATATAAGTTACCGGAATTCCTTTGATTAATGGAGAAACATTGGCATTGCTGACGGTAATGGTCTTCACGCATTGATCAGCGGACATGAATGGTGTCGTGGCAGTAGTCATCTTATTTTTTATTTTTTTTTCGAAGTATTTCCAATACTTCTTAGGATTAAATCGAATTTGTGAACAAAGTCTTGAGAAAAAAACAAAGCATCTTTATATATTTACCGAGAACATAGCATTAAAGAAGGACGAAATATTAATGAAAATCTTGTACCTACTTGGACATCAATAAACGGAGTTGTAGGTTAAGCAGCAGTGTAGTGTTACCAGACTCCGTAAAATCACGAGAAAAAACAATCACAGGACAATGTTCATATGCGGACAGCATTATTGAAATAAAACCTTTTGGCCCAGATTTAAACATCTGTGTGACTAAGAAATTGAAAATTATGCTTATTTCTGCAACTATAGTGTTTCAAAGAACAATACTTTCGAATTCATTTAATCTTTACCATTGTTAATATATAAATACATTTAGCTAAAATCCTTGCATATACATATATGTATAAATTTCTTGATAATGAAAATTGAATATGATGGGAAATTGATGAAACGATTATAGCAAACAAACAAAACTAGCGGACTTGTCATGACAGTTAAGTAGAAATTGTCTTCTCCTTTCGGATATTTGTATTCTAAAAAGTAAAAGTATTGACGTTTTTTATGTTTTCATATGTAACAAGTTCGCGAGGAACCGATTAAGATAATACTAAGCTTTAATATTATTTGCTCCGTAAATTCCTAGAGTTTTAGATATTTAATAAGTTATTCTTGGGTTATTTTATTATTATCTTCTATTACTAATTCAATCGTACAAGGAATGCTCAAAGCACATGTAACACGGCTTTCAGGAATATTTAGAACCTTCATTATTTTTAAACACTGTCTCATAGTAAAATATAATAAGAAAATGATAAGTACGTACGAACCATTATCGTGAAAGTGATTATACTTATTATTATCATTATTATCATCTCACAAAAAGTAACTGATACCTTACTATAGTAAATGAAACTCCCGCTAAAACGGTTTCCCTCCACATTTTTTTAAATGCTGATTTATTAATACCAAATTTGTCGAACATCTAATTTAAGACATTTGTTAAAAATTATCGATATTCTTAGCTTTATGTGTACAGCATTTATCGATGTTACCTGATCGGCTCAATGTGATACTTAGTATCACATCAGTTTACTATATACTTCTATTTTATTGTCTAAATCATGTGATACTAATCATAACACAGGTTAATCGTCACGAATTATTTGGGTAATGAATGCTAATATACGAATACTACGTATCGCGTAAATATTCCTGCAATTCCGCAAATCCACGATGGAATTTTAACTACATGCATTTTGCATGAATGCATTTCCTTACTAAGCAGACGATATGAAATGTCAGAACAATATGATTTTTTAATTTTCCATTGTTCTTCATTTTCATGCCTTCATATTGCCATTTCCTTATTCGAATTTCTTTATTTATTAACATAGTGAGGATTGAAACAATGAACTGTTCTGTAAGCTCCGAGAACACAACAGTAAAATGTCGCCAATAATGATTTCTATTTGGCGATTTAATGGCGTAATCAGCATTCGTTCTAATATGCTTGATTATCCGCATGCAATGACGAAATTTTTAATTGTATGCTGGGTGTTGAATTACGCTTTATATAATACTTACGAAAGATAAAGAATCCTTTAATATTGTTTTAATTTATCTAAATTAATTTCGTGATTTTGAATAGAAATGAAACAAGCAACGTGCAGTAGAATGGCATCTCATTACCGCAGCAGTGTATCTATCTATCTATCTATCAATTCGATATTTGAGTACATATCAATATATAATATAAGAATATTCTAGAACTTCGACTAACATTAAGAATTATATTTATAGAGGATCGTCTAAAGTCGGATAATTTAATTACTAATCGATTTTTTTTTATTAAGATAAACCTGGTTCATTTACGTTTATAACCATTATACGTAATCAAATGACGTATATGGATAATAATTATGCGAAAGGGGTGGAGACTCTGCAATAGGCGCTGCTTGCTTATATATAAAAGCTTTTTTTATTTTTAAAATATATATTGTACTATATATAGTAGAAACTTTTTAAAGTGCTACATAGTAGTCTATATTAGATAATAAAAATTAACATACTGTATTTTTTATTAACTTTTTATAAAAGTAATGGTTTAAAAATTATTATTATTATTATTATTTTTTTTTTAAATTCAGCAGTCATGCTTTAACTTTATTAGGCTTTGTACGAACCCTATAGACTCATAAAATTTTACACTAAGTTGTATTTTAGAAGGTAAGTGATAAACTCTTAACTTGTCGGCAGATAGCGTATGAGAACTATCTCTAAACAACAAGCGCCATAGCATTAAACCTAATGTTACCTAAATTACAAGTTAAAACTAACCCGGTTACCTCAAATGGTACCTATGTTCGACCTGCTATAGCAAGATTTCTCTCCTTCCAAACCTCTCCTACAATTGAATATGACCTAGCTCTCAACAGTAGTTCTTGCTGCCCATCATGACTACCTCCTCTTCTTTTGACTTCTTCCACCTAAGCCCGACAAAACAAAAAAACCCTTATTTGTACATAAAAATAAAAATGTAAAGCCATGTTTACGAAAAACATAAATATTTTAGAAAAAAAACACTTCACAGCGATAAAAAAAAAACAAAAACCAAATTAAAATTTCTAAAATAGTCTAACATAAATGAACAAAGATGAAAAAAGCGAAAAAAAAAAGTAGCCATAACACACTATTATAGCCCATGCCAGACATAAAGATAAAAATTATATAATAATTGCAACTAATTACTATATCTCGATTGTAAACCTTCAGTTTAGCTTTTAGGACTTGTTCCGGGCATCGACTCGACTCAGGTAACTCCTAAATGGGGATGAGATCTCTTCCACATACTGTAGCACCGTATTGATAAACAAAACAAACACGTGGTTGCATTCTACTGAGTTTGTTCGAATTAGGTAGGTGTAAACAATGCCGATCTTTTGGAGGGGGTGAGCTAAAATGCCCACTTTTTTGTTGAAATTTTTGGTGAGAACGGCAAAAAGCAAAAAACATAAAAGAGACCACTGGCACTTCTTCAAATGAGTGTGAGTTCTAAAGACATCAACAGGTGTATCACAAGTTTGCACAGTACTAAGTTTTTTCAGTGAGTGATAAACTCTGGGCTTGTTGGCAGATAGCATATGAGAACTATCTCTAAACGACAAGTGCCATGCTGCTATAAGTGATAAACTCTAAGCTTGTCAGCAGGTAGCATATGAGAACTACCTCTAAATGACAAGTGTAGTTCTTCTTACACCCTTTTCTCATATCTTACATTTTTCTTGCAGTACGTTACTGTTTTTTAGTCAAAAAGTTTTCAGAAAATATGGTCCAGATGATCATCGGAAAGAGTTGTTTTTTGTTTTTAGTTTTTTGTTTAAACTATTTTCATATTGAGAAAAAGTAAATTTAATATTTGAAAATTAATCTTTTAGTATTAAATTAACAATTCTTGATTATATTGTTGATCTGAT